TTCAACTGGTCAAATACGTTTCGATGGTAGGTGTTTAACAAGCCAAGATACAGATATTGCATATGACACTCGAATCGATATCTGTTATGCATCATGTCAATTAAAGTTCAAATGTTCAATATTATAATGGATTTCGCCATTTTTCAGTCTATATGTGAGGATTTCAGGTTGTAGAAAACTGGAGTAAATGATAGTCGAATTTTATAAAACCTTTCATCAAATTAAGTCGACTTTGCCAGCAGTTTATGCCAGTATAATAGATGAACAAACGTTCACTTCGGATATTTTAGTATATGGATCATTCCTTGATCTCCGAACTCCGACCAGAACAAGCTGAATTCAGGAAAGGCATATCATGTTCTAACCAAATTGCAACTCTACGCAACATCATCACAGAACAAAGGATGAAATAGCAATCAAACCTCTACCTCAACTTCATAGACTTTGAAAAAGCCTTCGACAGCGTTGATCGTGAAGTAATTTGGAAACTACTCGAGTACTACAGCACACAGTACCCCAAATATTCATCAACCTTATTCAACAACTGTAAGACAACGGCACATGTCAAGTGATCCACGACGGAAAACTCAGCGAGGCGTTTCGAGTAAACACAGGTGTCAGACAAGGGTGCTTATTATCACCAATGATATTCCTAATTGTTGTGGATTGACTGGATTATGCGTCAGACAGTGAGTAGGAAACGAGAAGATAGGGATATCCTGGATCGATCTAAAGAACCTGGAAGACCTAGATTTTGCGCGTGGATGATTTGTGTTTGATGTCATACAAAATTTGTGATTTTATGTCCATAAGCCCTTCAAAATTTCTGTTGATCAATAAAAATTAGTCGACAATTTGAGCATTCAACAAATGCAAACATTAGTGACAGGATTTCATCATGAGTTTACATTGGTTGGAGAACCATTGGAAAACCTGGGACGACTGGACAGCTGTTTCCTCCTTGTTTGCGACTCTTCAGCAGTACGCACCCACCGGGGTTCTAACCCAGGACCTCCTGATTACAAGGCAAGCTCGTATGCTATTAAGCCTCTGGGACTCGATCCAATAGCCCATGAAGTAAGCAATGTCAACTCTTGATGAAATCCTGTAACGAATCAACCAAATCCTTACAAACCAATACTTGAAATGCAAACATTCTCTGCTAAGGAATAGGAATCAATAATAATAAAAAGTTATTCCTTATAAACCAAGCATTATGGCGTTGATTTCATGCTACAATTTCTGTAACATTTATCAAGATTTTTGGTAACTAGAATGTAGCCTTTTGGTTCATTATTTCTATTACAGACGTCTCTACTTCTACGTATTTCCCTTAAAACGCATCTTCTTAAGGTGACGATATTACACCTTGTAAGTTAGTGCAATAATTATCATTTTGTTATGTCTATCGATTAAAGTATAACTGCTGATCTCTGCGTTCGCTGCTGACATTGATCACTGCTAACTTCTGACGACATTATCTTACGTAAGCAAAAGCCGCTGACAAACGATTTTGCACCTGTGAGAATAATGCCACTCTGTTGTGGTCCAGTATATCATAAACAAATATTACTTCACTCGGCGTGTAGAGTAAATAAAAAAACTGATTTGGATAATTCCCTTGAAGACATTCAGGTTTCACTTGATGCTTAAAACTTTTCACACTGATCCTTCCCGATAGGTTAACAGATATAGGTAAAAACAGATTTAGGTGGTTGAATATGTTTGCACTTTAAGACTTTCTAGCTGCAAATACTCAAATTCTGTGCCTTGAATTCACGCTTTAAACAGTTCACGCTATTTGATGCTGATTTAAGCTCGTTTCAGCTGGTTTTCACGTCTTGCAGATAGCTTGAGCAGCGATTTACCGTGGAACTGATTTTCGCAAACTCATCAAGTCTGAAATTGGTGTTCACATCTATACGCATAACCCTACAATAATACATGGTTTTGTATCTTGAACACGAGTGCAGGCGTGGAAAATTGGTCTCAGGCTTCTTCACAGATTGCTTATAACTGTGAATTTTAATAGAACCGCATTGATTCGTTGCTTGGCTTGACAAAACTAGGAATTCAAATACTATAATTCAACTATAACTATACGCCAAACAGCACATGGGTTGCTTACGGGACAATAATTGAAATAAAACACATGTGCGGAGAAGAAATATATCACTGAGAAAAACAAGATTTCATCCAATGTTTTATTCAGTTAACCTGCCTTAACTGAGACGTGTTTACACTGTGTGCTGAAGGCCTTGAAATCGATATTTGACGTGCTCAGGAATGTGTACTGCTGGAAAGAAGAAGACAGGAAGGAACAACTGTTTAACTGCTCAGCAGCTTTTAAATCGTCCTTTAATGAATTCAAGTTCATGACGAAATCGAATATTCAATCAGTTGGATCTCTCCAAACTAAAGACGAAGAATCACTGTGCTCAGATAAATGCATACTTTCTGTGATTTAACTAACAATAGAAGGCAAACATAAGTAATGCAATCACACTACAGACATGTGAATATAAAACCTACACAGCTGAAAGTCATAGCATATACATGGCTTGTACAAAGTTTCATAAGTAAACTCGGCGGCACCTCTAGCAATCTTATTACATGAAGTTTGTCAGGTTCCAATATTTCCTGATGCTTTTTCAAGCCAGTCAATTTTCGAATGGTCGAATAAATGTAAAAGTATAAATTTCAAATTACTTTGAATGAACTCTGATACTATAAATTATGAAATATTTTATATATAAGTATTTAACGTAAGCAATATCAAATACGATCGTAAGTGTATATTGTCCACCAAATGTTTGCAAAACACTTCACACATCTTTTTATTTTCATTACCTATAAACCTTGAAAGCTTTCAGCTGTCACCTGTTTCAACAGACCGAATGATGAAGGTCATTTATGTCAACGTCATTTAAAGCCTGTATACACATATACATATGAAAATGCTGTCAGTAAAGGCTCTCTCTTCCACAGTATTTGTTCGTCGTATCTTTATTTCGACATGTTTCATTTGTATTGTATCCTCATAGTTACCACTGTGAAATATGACTAGAAGAGCAGGTTCACAAATCACCCACTAAGAAGGTTCGTCTGCTCATGAGACTCGTAAACTAAACTGTCGTGCCGACAGTCATACTGAAGTATATCTTTCTCTCTCTGATAATCAACTGTTTAGAAGTGGCATGAAGGTTTCAACGTGGGGTGCAACCACTTCGATGAAACGCGTTACTGAAATTTATGTGTATGCTTCATTGGCGATAGGAATTTGAGTCGAGAATCAACCAATGCCAAGACCCATTCGAATAACCACCTCTAATTTTCATTGTGCATTCCTGGAATTTTTCTTATCTTTTGTGTCTACCAGTTAAAGAAGGTATGATGACAATTTTGTATTCATATACGACGAATAAATTATTATAATTTTAGTGCGAAGAATAATCGTCTTAGAGCTATAGTGATATCTAATGTCAGTATTGAGATTGCACACTGTTAATACTCTTTCCTAATACGAAAATGGTCTATGTTTATTACTTATATGAGTCATCATTTGATAGCTCTGCTATAGTTTGATTGTCTCTCGGCTGGCCATAAATTTATCAGAAATTGATTACGCATGGGCATAAAAGTATTCCTGAGATTATTTTGCATATCTTGTGGAAAGGTTTCCTTACTTAGTTTCATGTAAGTCTGGTGAAGGTAGAGAATAATCTTTGAATCTTTTACAACCAAATCAACACTGAATACGTTCAAACTAAGTGACCCATTGTATACCGAAAATATCAGGAGAGTTGCATTCAAACAATTCAGGTAGTAACGTCATAGAAAGTTCTGTGAATTATATTACCTGACTGAGAGTAACTACTTTTGTTCGAAATGTAACTCAATAATTGTGACTGAACCATATTGTACTACTTCAAATAAGTGTTTGTGATTTGAAGACACACAAATCCACACACAGCCTCATTATTTGGAATTTGAAAAAATACCCCTTAAGAACGATCAGGAGTCTTAATAAACATCTATAATAAAATTGCGAAACATTTTTGACTTTCTAATGAGTATAAAACTTATTTAGAAAACCAAAACAAGGGATTCAGCGAAGAGACTCTTTTCAACGAATTTATCATCAAGCTGTACAGTTGTATATATATGGTTTTTAATAAGTTACATCCGGTGAGGGAATTGAATCTTAGGTGTGAACGCATAAAATAATAATAATAATCATACGAAGTTCAATTAAAACTAAAATGTTTGTGATTATAATCGTAGTTAAATGTCAAGTGGCAAAGCAGATTAATGTCATATATAGAATAATTCATAGGAGGGATAGAACTTGAAAAAGGATGTGCAATTATAGGATTAGTAGACAAATCGAATAAAACAAAAACGTTACGTAATATTGTGTGAAATTAAATAGCATAGAATTTATCGTTGTTAACAACAATTGATTTGGAATGACAAGTGGAACAAGTGAAAATAGTAATAATAACAATTGACTTGATAAGGAAGAGTATACAAATTGAATAGACAAAATGAAAAATTGGTAGAGCTAAAATATGATTAAGGATTATCATATTTTAGCATAAAGGGATTAAGACCATGAAAGTTGGAGGGGTTGAACGAACTTTTTCTGTACACACAGATCTGGCTTTTCTGTTTCGATAGCCAAAGCTTCAGTGTGGTGAGAGCAGGCTGCTAGCCGATTGGTTGGCACTAATCTACGTTAAGGTCTAGGTCACTAATATGGGCCGTGAGAAAATATGAACAAGACTGAGTCAACAACCAATCACAGCTAAGTTAACGTGGCAAAATGTGATTCGCAGATAGAGAACTCGATTTGTCAAGGAATCCCGAAACAACCAATCAGAAGTCTGCGTTTGTCTACCTAAACAACCAATCAGATGACTGCGCTTGTCTATAATAATGTTGTCTGAAATATGTATAAATACGTGTTGATTTTCATAATAAAACGATCTGTTGCTTCGCCCTTGTCTTCTGTTGTTACATTTGGTGTCGCTGCCTACCGACAAATGAAAAGCCTATACCCTGCAGTTTTCGATGGAGACATATGGATCTTCGGGCAGGACTTCAAGGCTTCTGCGCAGTTGAGTGGCGTTCAAGATCTGTCAGCGATGGAGCTGCTACTTGGGACGCTGCTGGGAGGTCGGGTGAAAGCAGCATATGAAGGTGTCGGCCGAAGTATGGACGAATGTTCGACAGGGTCAGGCAAACAGTTTCCAAAGTGGGAAGGACCATATATGGTCACTTCGAGATGGGGTTACGCAGACACAGTCGCAATGGCGAACAATGAGAGGCGCGTGAACGTCAGCGAGCTCCAGAAATGGATACAGCGAGACAAGCCAACGATGACGCCTGCACCAAGTAGATCAAGCCGACTTCAGTCGCACGTATTTGACGGGGGGACGAGTGTGGTGAGAGCAGGCTGCTAGCCGATTGGTTGGCACTAATCTACGTTAAGGTCTAGGTCACTAATATGGGCCGTGAGAAAATATGAACAAGACTGAGTCAACAACCAATCACAGCTAAGTTAACGTGGCAAAATGTGATTCGCAGATAGAGAACTCGATTTGTCAAGGAATCCCGAAACAACCAATCAGAAGTCTGCGTTTGTCTACCTAAACAACCAATCAGATGACTGCGCTTGTCTATAACAATGTTGTCTGAAATATGTATAAATACGTGTTGATTTTCATAATAAAACGATCTGTTGCTTCGCCCTTGTCTTCTGTTGTTACATCAGCAATACAGATGAGTCGGGTACGTAGGGATTTGGGTAGATTGCTCTTTGCCTTGTAGATGACTTTAAAGGCGGAGGCTATAGAGATAGGGTGATCATTATCGACCAGATGTTCTATGATCACGCTTCTTATTGCTCCACTTCCACCTTTTCGTAGCCATGCAGGATAGTGTTCTTGCACCCTCTTGGACAAAACTCGAGTCGAACGACCGATATACCTAGCTCCACAAGAGCAGGTGAATTGAGAAACGCACATAGAGTTGGTCAACATTGGGATCTTGTCCTTCAGGTTATTGAACAATAATGGTCGGCTAGTAAAAGCTATTCTCAGAGAGGCAGCAGGGAATGTTCTTTTCAGGGACTGTGATATCCTTCGTTTCATGATATCGGAAGCTAAGTCCCCTTTGAATTCTAAGCTCAAATAAAGTGTTTTCTTGGGAGCGGTTGATAAGTCACGTTTTGTAGGCTTTGAATGTATATTCTTATCTATAAAACGTGGTGGAAATCCATTTTCCATTATTTGTTTTATCTCTCAGATAAACCATCAACACCCCAAAATGGTTAGTTATCATCTACACTCGTCATCGTTGGAGTGACAGTGGAATGAACACTGAATACATCATGTCATAAAAATCGAATTATGTTTTGATGTGTTAAACATTCATACTTCGTGAATAAATGTTTTTTCTTTAAACGTGGAAACCAAAATCTCTTATTTTTCACCTGCATGGACTGATCATTTCTTTGGCATCGCGCAATTTGTAGAAGAGAAATTGACGAACAAAATAATCTGAGGAATATTAGTGATTCCAGCATAATATGTAACGATGTTCTATGGACATATAATCGAAATCCGGATCAAGTTTATATAATTTGCTACATAGCGAATGAGTATAAGTTGAAATTGAAAAAAGGTTAGGTAAATAAGGCATGTGGTTATAATCCTAATAGCAGCAAGTGGTATATTAAAATGTTGGGGATAACCTTTTCAGATATCTGCTCGCATGTTTTTGTTAATGCCTGATTTATAAACCATGGTCGTTATCCGATAAAACTAATTAAATATTGAATAACATAGTGAATTGGTACAAATATGAGGAAATAGGTAAGCGATGTGATATAGGCAACGTCTCATAGCTACGTAGAGGCCGCAATCTCCTGCATTTGTGACTGACAAATATCTCATAGATACAACCATTTCACATAAATGATGGCCATGAAATGAGGATGACAGTAGATAACAAAATTACTTGTTTAACTTTCCAAATTCCAAATTTGCAATTGATGAAACCGTCTCTGTAATCGCGCATTTATTCCTCTTAAGGTAGAGGAATTTACGTAATCGTCGATTCATGAGGTCACTTTATCCATATATATATATATATATATATATATATATATATATATATATATATATATATATATATAAAGAACGGATGTGAGAGTATCATGCTACCACAGTGTTATACTTCTGTGGATACCTATAAGGAGGATGAAGCTAAATACCCGAGTAAAACTAATCAGTGTGTAATCAGGGATGACTCATTCGAAGTTACCCATCACACTAAGAGAAGTTATCTTTTAACCTCATGTCACAATAATCTTAGACTAATGTATCCGAAGTGGATCTGTAATATGAACATGGGAAAATACACACAGTTGTAACTATCTCTGTCCAAATTATAAAACGTTATACTGAGTCATTTCTGACAAAAGTTTGAATACCATCTCATCTGCACTTAGAAGATGATGATCATTTTTGTCATCTGGTGTATTACTTCAAAAATGATACATAACGTGTATTAATTTGAAGCAACTCTCAATAACCACAAAATAAGGACTAAGACAGTGACTATAATAGACGTGGATTGATTATTCAAACTCGGCATTCATATACACATAAATATACTAACCACAGTAACTTATTTCATCTTTTGACTTGTAATGACGTCATTTGAATAAAACAATTCACCACAGTATATGGCCTGAAACCTCAGGTTCAAATGTAGTTGTGTAGACAGTAGATTACTACACAAAGTACGACGCTTTACTTGTAAATGATTTTACTGCTGCCTTGACTGAAGGAAACACCACAAGTGCTGACAAACTAAATATCTGCAGATTCATATTAGGTACTATTTCTCAATGAGTTATAGACCGAATTCGCATTCAGCTTGAGGGGATTAGTGTTATGAACAACATCAATGTTGCTGTTTAAATAGCATCAAATCATTAATATTGATAGATTATAATTCAGTGGCATCAACATAAAATAAGCTGAATGTCAGAAAAATTAAGAAAGATAATATTACAAATTCACGAATTTATAGTCACTACTGAAGGCCAAAGAAGTATCAGCGGCTAGATTCGCTTCTTTTGAACCCTTAGCACTGGTTGTTTGAGGTGAATTGCAATAGCCTCTGCTGTTTGCAGCATGCGATGCTTCGATGATTTTGGCAATTTATTAGGTACACGGTAGATTATAGAGAAGGATTCTACCATACTGACTTTGTAGCCGGTTTGCACCAGATGGTGCAATATTGAATTGTTAATGGTTATAACTACACCCTTACTTGGCCATAGTGATTCACTCCCCATTTTACACGGTTATTCTTATCAATGTTCGAGAGAAGTAAAACCGAGGAGGGTAGGCACAGTGAATATAAACGAATCAGATTCATTTGTAAATTGGATATGCACAAATGAAAAGTGTGAGAATAGGATGATATATTAACTAACCTAAATTTTCACGAGACGTCTCTCGAGATTTCGTAAGATGCAGTTGCCTTCTTAATACCGAATATTAGGGGGATCGTTAACGACCAATCTTTGAGTATTAGGACAATTATTAATAATAATTTCCTTTATTCCAGTAACAGTACTAGTGGTACAGTGTAGAATTTTCAGCACTTATCTACAATATGGCACCTAATTTTATCATACATATAAAAGAAGTATTTCAAAAAACGACAAAAAGCATCAAAAACACAAAATAGCAAAAAAATGCGAAAAAAATACCAAGAAATAGAATGGAAACTAAACAGCATAATAAATAATATCTCACTATTGGGAAGTGGATGCTGTGATTTGCGTATGCGTGGTGAACAGTTAAACTATATCAAACAAGAAGTTATGAAATGATATTAAGCATGTTCATCGTATGATAAGATTAATTTGATTGAACAACACTAAACAATCATAAAATAAACATTTCAGGTTTTCTTTTTCATTGTCAGCACTAATGCAGTGTTTGTTGTGGTATTGTGAGTAATCATGCATAATACAAAATATTTTGGGATGGTGATAACAGCGTTCACAATCAAAATTGTCAGTTTCAATATTGCCGAACAAAAAAAAACAATCGCAAATCTAATATTACATGGTGGTTTTTGACAGGATAATTTTGTAGTACTCATAGCGCTAATATAGTCGGGACCAGGAGATACACAAAAGAAGGAATAGAATGAAGAATAAAAAAGTAAGCCAATGATAGTAATTTAGGTAGCTAAGTATGTTTAAGAAGGGGTTCACCATATAATACAAATAGGAGAGAAGTAAAAGAGCCAAAATTATGTTATTTACAACAAAGTAAGTCATAGGTTTCGCGTTTAACATTGTCTCTGTCTATTAGAACACGGGTCATGACAGATAGTATTGCTGATATGACCTAACACTATTGGTGATTCCATTTCACAAAGACGTTGACATGGAATCATTCTGGAGCGCGTGAGTATTTATTGTTTCTTCATATGTGTAAATGCCCTGAAAAGGTAATTGCAATCCACAGCTGCCATAATTATTCAATGAGTGCTGAGACATTCCCAGAAATTCTCAATGAAATTCAGAAAGATTTTGAACCTCTTCCAAATGTCTTAACTCACAGCTCTCCTGCACAAACCCACACCATCGCTATACATACTTGAGCAGTGTGACCTATTCGAATCCTTATTCAAGAGGAATGTGCGAGATATGCGTTTCAGTTGTGACTACCATATTCGTAGGGTTAGTCACTAGACACCATGTGAAATGCTTCAGTATGGCTTCTACGTCAGAAAACATTTTACTTTGATGAACGCGATTCCAGGATGAGGAAGGCTGAAATAATGGAAGGCATAGTGTTAATACACATAGGAAGAGTGTTTTCTGAGTACATCCCATAGGAATCAACATAAGTGATGTCAAATATCCATATCGCTGAGATTTTGGACCTTTTGATGGTTTCAGAAAATTAAGCTTGATAAGTCCATTGCTATGCACTGTAACCAACATGGAACAATCGAAAAATGGTTGGGAAACACATTTATTTATTCTTCAAGAGATAACGAAACTAGTTTATAGTGGTATATCAGTGCTGAAGTCTGTAAATAAAAATAATATAACGTACAGCAATACTTTAGGTCGTACTTTTCCAATCTTATGCCATATAGTACACGATTTAGTAGTGAAAACCTTCTTATCACTCGTCACTGGATATCGGCTGGATTAAAAGAAACTACTCAATATTCACCAACATTGACAGTTGACAGCCAGGATTATTGCTTTTAGATGGTTGGAGATAATCGTCAGGAGTTGATATCCCATCAGACTTGCATTCTATTTAAGAAAAGACTTTCTGTCATCCGATTTATATTCAGTCTTGTTGTCACTTCGTAACCTTGACTAGATTACTAGTTCGCTAGTTTTCTAGCTGGTCCCAAGCCCGGATAAAGAGGGAAGGTTGGGGCGTGGTGCTAGCAACCCCA